CTGTAGTCCATCTGGTCCTACTGTTAGACCCTGAGATCTGGTTTGGAGTGGTGCTGGTGAGAAGGTGATGCAATATGTGGGCTTCATGGCAGAGTGCTCAGGCTGGAACGTCCATGGCTAGTGTGGGACCTCCCAAGACCTTCATGCTGTGATCCTTTTCCTCAAAATGGTGACCAAAGATCGGTGAAGGTAGCCCTGGAAGAAGGTGACAGCATCCATTGATGGATGTCGGGAGATGTCTCTCATGGGAGCAGAAAAGTTGTGCTCAAGTCCCTTCTCTCCACACCACCTCACCTGCGTTGTACATGACATGTTTCTATAGCCCCTTGGGACTGCGATGGCATCCAAACTGAGGACATGGTAGTAGTGCATGGGAGGCAGAGGACCAGGCTGCTGGCTGTGGTGGCCCAGCAGTGAGGAGCACTTGGTCAAAGTAGGATATGCAGCAGGATGTTTTGCAGAAAAAAGCAAAATCCTGCTTTAGCAAAGTCCAACAAAAACCCCCTTTGATCCTGTGTCCTGAAGGAAGTTAGGTGAAACAAAACAGATTAAGGTTGGGAAGACTGAGTGGATTAGATGTTTTGAAGGATTTGAGATGATTTAGCTCATCCCATGGTTACAGGAGGTGGATCTAGATCCTGAGGAGTGCAAGCACAACTAAGCCCAAGGAACTGAACAGGGATCCCTGGGTGATGGATGTGAGGATGAGGAGTGAAGTGCTCCTGTTTTTTGTTTGTAGGGAAACTGTAGCTTGCAACTTTTTCCCTTTGCTTGCTGTGTTTGTTATTCTCCAGCTCCACCATGACTTGTTTGTAGCTTGCCCAAACTCTGCTGATTTGCACGATGTGATGCTGGAGCATCTTTGAGCTCAGATCCAACAGCAAGGATGAGGCAGGCCTGGACTTCGGGTGATGGCAGTGGTGTGGGAGGAGCATCAGAAAAATGCTCCTCATTTGGGAGTGTTTTGCTTAGCTCCTTATGGTGCTGTCCATGCTCACTGCATTGGCATGGCAAACTGGTGTGATATATACTGGGGGTGTGCATGTATCTGAATCTCGTATCCTGTGCACAGCTCAGTGCCTTCACATCCTGAGAGGTGATGGCTGAGACAAGAAACAAGTAGTTCTCAACAAGGAGCTGTGATTAAGATAGCTTTACCACAAGTGAGGCCTAGACAGATACAATCGGGCGAGAAGTTAGTAAAACTATTAGGCAGAGTTTAAGTAAAATTATCTGAAGACAGTGCTAATACAACTAAGATTTTGCTTGGCTTAACACACAAAATGGAGAAGAAAATGAGAAGAAAGAATTTCCCCTGTGAAAGTCTCAGCTGGTTCAATTTCTAGTGACAGTCAAAGAGTTAAAGTGATATGTTGGGAGTTATGAGTGTTTATCTAAAAGAAAAGTGGCAGGTGAAAGGGATAAAATAACACAGTTTGTACAGCAATGCAATATGTTTGAATTATCCAAGGATCAGAATGGGAATTTGGAAGGTAATATTGGATAGAAGGAAATGAGAGATGGATACAGAAATAGGATGTGGCAAAACCAGCTTGAGGTGGCTTTCCCATTGGTTAGTGCAAAGGAAAAAAAAGGGGGTTGGTATCATTAGGACCATTGTGAATTTGTTTGGTAGAAGGGCTTTTTATTATACTTTAAGAGTTAAGCTCAGGGTCTCTGCTGTATCAGGATGCAGAACAGACCCTCCTGAGCTGGGTTTGGCTTGAAAAACATGTGCAGAGTCTGTTACTGTGCTCAGAACATCCCTGAACATCCCTTGTTCTCAGATGACCTGTGGAACACTCAGTGCCGTTCCTGACTGAGTGCTGCATCCTTTGCTTCCTCCTCGGTGTGCTGTGGGTGATCAGCCCCGTGGCAGAATTGGGTTCCCCCCAAATCTCCAGTGGCTGATCACTTCTTCAGCATTGCTGAAACAACTGCTTTCCATCTGCCCAACCAGGTGCTTCTGCTCTTACCTCCATAGTACAAGGAGGTTTTCTTCATGGGGAAGCATGTGGGCAAAAGAGTGCTGGCACCATGGGAAGATGCACGGGATGCAGCTGGGAAAGTGCTCTGCTAGGAGAGATTGGGCACTTCTAAAGGGCTGCTCTTAAACTGTGGCAGAGCCATGCAGGAGGATTTAAAATAAGTGTATCCCACTGCCCTCACTCTCAATTGCCTTCTACAACCTTGTCTTCACCTGCTTTTCAGGCACCATCTGCACTAGCCCAGAGATCAACTTTTCCTGGGCTGTTTGCTTGGTTTTGGGACATTTCCAGCTCATGGTGGCTGAGAAAATCAGAGACTGCTTGGGGAAGTTGCAACACCTCCCCCATTGCCTCTGCCTGGAGCCTTCTGCCTGGATAGCTCTGAAATCTGTCCCTCTTCAGCTACATCTTCATCCTCACCTCTGCTCCCCTAAATGGTATGTTGTTGCCTCCAGCATCTTCATCTGACAAAGCCCTTGGATGGCAGCTCACAGCCGTGATGTTGGAAGATGCTTTTCTATTCCATAAGTGCCTTTTCTTATCATGGCACTTATGATTTTGCACTTTGGCACTCACTAAGGAGACCAGGACTGTGTTCCAACTTTGTGACGTTTACAGGTACAGTGACAGACACCAGCCTTCTCTAACCAAGAGAAGGTAAAACTAAAAATCTAAGGAGAATGAGTAATTGATGCCTTGACTTCCTGAACCTGCAGGCTCCCCAGAGCAGGGGTTCCAAGGTCACCATAACCCCAGTGACATTTCTCATCAGCCTGATATTTCCTACTTATGTCACATGGAAAATTGAGATGATGAAGTGACTTTATTGAGAAAAAATGTCACAAAGGACTGATTTAATTTGCATCTAACTCAGTTCTGAGGCCCTCCCAGATATGCTAGGTTTCTTGATGGAAATTAAATGGTGGCATATTTTTCAGCTGGTCAGGTAGCAGAGTACTCACCCCAGGCCAGGTCTCAGATGAGCTATCTGCAGGGCTTCCACTGCTGCTTCTTTACTTTGGTTGTTCTGCCTTTTCCCATGGTCATCTCAAAGTTCCCCGTTCTTCACAGCATCCTGGAGGTCTGGTCTGTCCCACTCTTCCCTTGTGGTCCCAGACCCCTTGAGAGTGTAATCGTTCTGCAAGGTTGTCCAGAGAAGCTGTGGCTGCCCCATCCCTGGAAATGTTCAAGGCTAGGTTGGATAGGGCTTGGAGCAACTTGGTCTAGTGGAAGGTGTCCCTGCCATGGCAGGTGGTGGAACTGGATGAACTTTAAGGTCTCTTCCTGCCCAAACCACAGTGATTCTGTGATCTTCATGGTGTCCTTGAAAGTGGCTGCAGGCAGACCATCACTTTGTATTGGTCTCATAGAAGTTGTCTGTGCAAGGTCTGTTACCCCTGGTAATTCTGAGATGCCACATGAATACTGATCCTTTTTATTTTTCCTCCAGAGTTCCATGTTTTTTCACACATCAAATTAGGCTACATAGTAACTACAGTGCCTAGACCCCCTGCTCTGTTCTGAACATATTCTATATTTCTGTGGTCATTCTTGTACATCTTGTTTTACAGCCAAGGCCCCTATAACCCTGCTACATTACATTTTCTGCAACAACTTCCTTCCTGGACAGTAGCTTAACAAGAGATTCTGAAGTACAACAGGATGCCTGGACTGTCTTTTTTCAGAAGCAGCCTGAAAACTCCCTTTCGAAAGTTCTAATTCTTGGGTTCACGAGCTATTTGCTGATAAACTTCTATACACCATCTTCCTGTCCTTCAGAAAAGTGGAGACTTTGAGGCTATAAATTTGATGATGTCAGGTGCTGCTCTCCTGGGTGTCTTTGGTGGAAGCTGTAGATAAGAGGGAAGATGCAGCAGCAGTTCTGGTTCCTACATCCTTTCCTGGCCACAGCAATTTTTCTGACAGTTCCTTGGCATGTTGTGGGGTCATGCATCTCTTGTATCTTAACCAGCAAAACAATGATGTACATGAAGGTAGTTGAAATGATCTTGCAGACCAAAGGATGGGAGCTGGAGAAGTTGATGGCTTCTCAGATTATGCTGTAGGGAAGAAGTCACAGTCCATTGTGCTCTGACTTGGTGAGCAAACAGCAGGTACATTGTTCTGGCAGTGGTTTATGTAGTTCTATGAGATCACTTATGGGCACCTAGGGATGATAAGATAGGTGAGAGGTGACCAGCCATCATAGTTTCAGTTCCTATACTATAGTATAGTCACCAATGAAGACAGATTACCTACCTGCTGGTTGGCTGCTTTGCCACCCTGCTTGATAGTCTTCCTTTGGAAAGGGCTTGAGGTGGTGGTGAAACTTTGTCATGGGCTGCGTTTGGCTACCCTCAGCTTAGGAAGCCAAGACACCTGAAGATACAGGCTATTGCATTTTCCCACCTCTTCTTATTAGGCCTTGCTGTGATAGCCTCACAACCCTCTGCGTAAAGAATTTCTTCCTAACACCCAATTTAATCTCACCTCTTTTAGCTTAAAATAATTTCCCATGGTCTCATCACTATCTGCCCATGTAAATTATGGGAGCAAAGGTGTGATAATGCAACAACTGTCCTAGACCAGAACCAAGAGGGACAAATAGGCTCAACAGCCACTGAGGGGTTTGGGGTGGGTTATTTTTTTGCACTGCTGAGCAAATTACTCTAATTAAGGCTTGCAATTTGTGATTTCATTTGTGGTGATGAAGAGCTGGAAGGAGAGGATCCTGGTGGATCATTTAGCTCCTTTGGACCAAACATCTAGCATTGAGGCACTGCCAGAGCAGTCTGGGGATCCACAATGGTATGGAGCTCACCCAGGTAACACTCCTTGCACATGCAACTTGAGAAAATACTGATGGTCAGATCTGGAGTTGGAGAAGGAATGTGTCGCCAGGTCTGGAAGCCAGCCTAGGAAAGATCATAGCTCCTGAGGACTTAACACAGGCACAAGGATGGGACTTGCATGTGGCTGCATCTCTGGATCCCTGGTAAGGTGGCTTGGTGGCTGCAGAAACACCCTGGGCATACCTGTGAGGGATGAGAAGGGCAGAGCCCAACGCAGGTGCTGCTCGAGCTCCAGGTGTTAGTGTGGTCCAGCCTAAACGCTGTGAGGCAGGGCCTAATTCTCAGCCCAGCTCCTGCCCCTTTCTCCCCTCCACCCACATTGAATGTTACAATTCAGTCCAAGGTAGGTTGCACAATTTATTTTCCTGTGCTTAAACCAGGATTTTGGCAGTCAGGGTTGGGAGGCCTCTCTGAGGAGCGCTGGCTGGGCGCCCTCCTGTTGTCACGGTATCATGCTGCTGTCAAAGGCTCTGCTTCTGCTGGGTGTCTGTCCTTCAGCATGGCCTTGTGCTGCAGCCTAGTGCTGCTGAAGGACACACTGCATGGCCAAGGCACCACTGACATCTTCAGCAAGTACAGGTGGAAGTGATGGTCACCCCAGTGTGAGTTCTCCTGTGCCAGACTGATGTGAGGCCCATCATGCCCAATTACGAGTGGCATGATGTGTGTGGTGTGGCAACTCTAAGGAGGACTGATCCTCTTCTTTACCTGCCCATGCAGTAAGACACCATTCTGTCCTTGAAGTATCTCTTTGGTAGTCCTAGACACTTCTTTCCTACTGTCTCCATCACCTTGCTTCCCTACAGCCAGCTGGTAAAGTCATCTGGATAAAGGGAGAGAAGGAGATGCAGGAGAATTACTGTGCTCATTGCTGAAGGAATATGCAAAGGGATTTGCTGTAATGTTCACTGATGGGTGTGAGGGAGGGAAAGGATGTGAGTGCTAACTTATGCTCTGTCAGCATCATTAATGTCACTCACATGATTTAATTGCTTTGCAAGGAGCAGTGGGTGAGGCTGAACATACCCAGGGATGGAGAATGAGATAGTTGGGAGTGATGGAAGTGTCCTTGCCTAGTAAAGGGCATAAGCGTGATGTGGTCAAAACAGCTGGAGAAAAATACCAGCTCTGCACATGTGCTTGGCTGTGCTGGGCTTGGACTGGATCTAGGATGGAGAGTTGGGAAATGCAAAGCCCAGAGTTTCAAATAGCTGAGGCTGAAGGTACCTCACACCTAGGTGGATTTTCCAGTAGAAAAGGCAATGAAAACAGAAGAAACAGATCATGGTGGTAAAGTTGTGAGTTTGGGGAACGGGAAAAAAATAATGAATTTACCCTTTGGAGCAGGGTGGAGAGGACTTGGAGGTGATGTCCTATTTTTGCTATGATGATCTCGAGTTGGCAGTGGGACATCCAGAAAGGTTTATGAGGGGGAGAGGCTGGGTGGAGATGTCAGCCTGTGAGTTCTCAGAGGAGGGATGAGCTTACTAAGGAGAAGGTGTTGGGGGACTGAGGATGAGGACCTGGTGCTGGGCCTGTGAGGCTGGAATGGGGCTGAGCATGTAGCAGGATGCTGTGGTGGGGAGAGGCATAGTGTGATGTGGTCTGATACATGTGGGATTCAGGGGACAGACAGAGTAGGTGGAGGGCCTTGGAAGAGGAGAACACATATATCTTGGTCTATGGTCACAGAGAAGTTAGTGTCTCCATACACCTTGTTTCAGGAGAAGAGTGAGGCATCTTTTTTTTTCACTGGAGACAATTCCTTACCTGAGGCTGAAGCTGGAGTGGGGAAAAGAAGTGCTGGAGAAGTGGGATCCACCAGGGGAAGAGAGAAGCTGTTGGAAGTAAGGGTTTTTCAGAGGCTCAGGCATCATTTTCTCCCATCCTACCATGGGAGGCCTTTCTGCAACAAGTTAAACTTAACAACATATCCCTCAAGCCCTGCCACCACAGAGGTCAAAGGGAGAGAAGACATTGGTTTTACCACGAGCCTATCAAAAGGTGAGCTTTGAGAGCACACAAATGGAGAGCTACAGCTAAAGAAAGGAGACGAGGCAGGGTATACAGCTGGACCAAGCAGCAGCACCTGCTGAAGCAAGAAGCTCCAGACTGTAGGGAACAGTGTGAAAAGGATGCAGCCAATGCTTCTGGCTTGGAGGAAGGACAAGGGACAAGCAAAATGCACTTTGTGGGCTGCTTGGAGCATACCTGGGTATCAGGCACTGCATCCACTCCAAATCCAGCAAACTGCATCACAGCGATGTAGGCAAAAGGCAGCAGGTCCCTGACTTGGCATCTATGGGCAGTTCTTGCCCCCTCCCAGCTCAAGTGCACCTCAAGCCCACTGGCAGGATGCTTCCAGCAGCACACAAGGTAGCTGTGGCTCCTTGGCTGTGGGCAGGACAGGGGAGCACTGTTCTAAGCAGATGGATATTGATGCCCTTTCTACAGGAGAAAGTCACAGACTTACTGAGATCTAAAATAAATTGCCTCTTAAGCCAGTGGTGTGTCAAGTGGTTAAGGCAGAAGCAGGCTATACTTCCACTGATAGAAAAGCAGGGATGCTGTCTGTGGTCCAAACACCAGCACCTCCTGAGAAGAGACTGGAGGAGGGACAAAAAGAGCTTTAGTGTTCTTTTTGCATTGTCAGGAGGCCCCATGTGGGCACCTCTCTTCCCAGCTAAGGACTCTTGGGAGGAGACCAGCGACCATGAGGTGTCTGCAGCACATTATGGTTTTACACAGCCCAGTGGAGCTGATTTCAAGACAGGAAAACCCCATGGCTTGTTCAGCACAAACTTAATATTTAATAGACAAAGTAAATACGAAAACACATTTCTGAACCCCCCTGTGGTGTTGAAACTTAGTTATGAGAAGCACCAGAGCGCTGCAGAGCTAAACTAACCCTGGGTGGCATTTGCAGGGCTTAGCTTTCATTGCAGTCTGAAAAAATCCCATGTGCAGAGATTATCTCCATGCTGTTTTGAATTGTCTTGTTCAGCTTTGGCCCTCATCCTAGATGGACAAGGAGCAGAAGACTTGGCCAATGGCCTGAGATCTGTGACCTCCTCTGCATGAACTGGAAAGGGAAGAACTGTCTCTAAGGTATTTGAGGATTTGCAGCCTTGGGGGGCTGATGAGATGGAGTAATGGGAGGCAAATCTTAGATTCCCCCCCCCCCCCACAAGGGATTTAATGCTATACCCTTGGCCAACTGAGCCAACTGAGAGAGGCAAATCTTGCTCTGGTGAGGAGATCTCTGGTTTGCACTGAAATGGATCAACCCACAGTGCTCCACCTCAGGACCCACCTAGGGTATCCCTCCCCACCATCTGTCACATTTTGCTGGAGGTTTATTGGAACTGGTGCTGAGCAGGCAGGAGAGAGGCAGCTGGGCTGTGCTGGGGTTTGCCCTAATGCAAACCTCCCTCACCCTGCACTGCTTCAAGTCAGTTGTCAGCAGATGGTGCCTGGAGACCTTCCAGTGACCACAGGCTCTCCCCCAGCCCATAGCTACCATGGCACAGATGGGATTTCACATATGCCTGTGCATTCCCCCAACCTCTTCCCTCTCAGGGAAGAGCAGGAAGACTGCAGGTTTTGCAGAGATCCCCTCCTTCAGCTGGGAGGCCACAGCTCTGGGCTTTCCTGGACCATGCAGGGAGCTCCCTCCTACACAGGAGGGCTCGGCAATGCTGAGCCTCACCTGTTGGCTTGAGGTGTCATTTTGAGGTTTTCCTCTGCTTCCCTTTTACTTCTTGACTCATATACCAGTGGGTAAGGGAGAGAGGAACTGGTTCACTTTCCACCTTCCCTCATAGTGTCCCTCTGCTTATTAGTTCTCCAAATATTTCATACTACAGCCCACCAGCAAGGACTCTGCACTAACCCAGTCTTAGGCAGACGGAAGCCAGAGCAGGCAGGACAGCACCTTATCTTCATGGCAGTGTCCTAGGGAGAAGGACAGGACTGTTGGGGTCCTGTTGCACTAAATCTCTGTGATTTCAGGGCACACATGGCAGCATTCCTTTGGCTGAGTCCTTCTCTTGTGGCTTCCTAAGGGTGACACAGCAATAGGGGCAGAGCACCAGCATTCCTTCACCCCCAATTGCTCCACTTTATACTTTTACTTTTCCCAGCATTCATCAGGATAGGGACTGTCCCCCAGTGTCTTCCTCAGTGAGGAGAACAGGCAAATAGAGGAGAAAGAGGAGACCTGTTGTGGGATGCCTGCGAGGTGGGGGCAATTATGGGACAGAGGAGAAGAAATCAACTTGATTTTTCTCCCATCAGCTCTCAGCTCCATTAAATGTCAGTGGATTGCAGGTATCACTGCCCTTCACTGTCTCCAGTGGAACCAGGTACTGGAGAAGAGATGGGGGAAGGGAGCATGGTGGGACCAACGTGTCCTCCAATAGCCCCAGGCAGCCACTGAGGAGCTTCTGTAAATCAGAGCAGTCCCTGGAGCTGCACCAAAATCCATCCATTCCCAGGAGGCCTTCGAGCATCCCACAACAAGGGGGTGCAGGAGTGTCTCACATTGCCCTCATGAGCTGATCACCCTGGCTGAGCTCCACATGGACTTAACTCTTGGAGGACAGTGCCAGCCTGTCACCACCTGCCTGACCCTTGCTGTGCACCTGGCTGCACAGGCTGTCTGTGCTCCTTCCCTTCCTGAGGCATAGCCAGGCCAGTGGCACTCCAGGATGCTCAGCACATGCCTTTAAACAAACAAAAATAACTACAATAGAAGATTTCAAATGCTGTACTACCCTTGCCTTAAACACTTCTTGTCTGCAGCACTCCAAAAGCAGCAGGAGCCCATCCGACAGGAGCTGGCATCACACAGGTCCCCAGATAGCCAGACAGCAAGCACATCTGCCGGCACAGGACACCAAGGGGCTCTGGCTTCAGCAATACATACAGCAAAGCAGATAAAACAAAATAAAAAAGCCAACAATGATCAGTTTTTTTAAACTTTAAATATTTTTTTCTTTAAAATCTGTTTTTCTCTGTGGTTCTGTCTCTGTAAAGAGCTGTGCTCTCCCTGCAGCATCTGGGTCACTTCCTCAGTCCTGGCTGTGGGGCAAGGGAGGAGCAGGGTCAGTTAAAGAGGATACAGGTGGGTGCCCTCCCCCGTGCATCACCGGCATGTGTGGATCTCCACCACCCTATGGCAGGGTTTGCACTTGACGGAGCAGCACCAGTGGAATTTGCAGCTGCACCTTTCCACAACCTCCACTTCGTCCGTGTGAAAGCCACGGCCGCAACACATCAGCTCGCAGCCATCGATAGCCTTGGAGGTCTTGTTGCACTGCCGCCCACTGGTGCCCAGGACCCCATTCTTGAGGTCGTGGTCACAGAAGTCAGGACTGGAGTCTAGGTAGACGAGGTCCTCGTCTGTATGTGGCTTGAACTGGGAGTTTTTGGGCACCAGCACTTTGGTGGATCCAATCTCGCTCTGTTCGACCTCTGTGGCACCGTCAAATTTCTCCTTCAGGACGTTGCCCACTTTGCGGAAGGGGGGCATGGCTTTCCAGCACGTCTTGAACTCACATGAGCCTGACACACCATGACACTTACATTCCACCCGCATGTTGTTCAGGATCGCCTGGAGGAACAGACCCAAGGAACAAGATGAGATGATCAGTGCGGGATGGACATAGCAGGGAGGGCGCAATGGATAGGGCCTGGGAGGGCTGTGCAGAAAACACTGCTGGGTGGGTATGGGATTAAAAGAAGCCCAAATGGCTCAAGCCATGGCTGCAGAGCCTGGCTGGGATGCTGCAGAGCGGTGCCAGCTGCCTAGGTTCTCTCCTTGCCATTACCTTCCTCCCTGCCTCGTTGTTGTGGAGGTTCATTAATGCTCTGTTGGAAGAGGCCCCTTTGCTCCTCTCACGGATGTCAACGAAGGACTGCGAGAAGGCCACACCGTAGGCGATGTTATCAGAGCAGCCCGACCACTGGAAGCCTGAGGCAGAGAGCACAGATGAGACAGGTACTGCCACCCCGTAGTGCTTGAACTCTCCAGCCCTACTCTTCCTAAAATCCAGCTGGCCTGCCCTCTCTCAGTCTTGCTGCCTACTAGTCTGCGCCACATGGGAACAGGGGAAGCTAGGGAGTGTGGCCCTGGGGAACACATGGACAAGATGTTTTCAGTCCAATAGGTGATGCACTCAGGTGTCTTTCTGAGGCAGTCATGTGAACTAACCAGCATTTTGTTTTTTTTTTAACTTTTCCCTCTTTTCTGGATGGCTTCAGAGAGTGGGTTTGAATTGCAGGTATTTTGGCTACTTTGCGTCTCCATACAGCTGCGGCTGCTCCCTGTTCAAACACTCACCCTGTGGGCTGCCCCCCTGCACTGTGCGGTCACATCCACACTTGTCCAGCTCGCCACTGCTGCAGGCTCGGGTCACGGCGAAGGCCACCCCTGCTGAAGAGATGGCATAGACGAACGCTGCCTCTCGTGTCCCTGCAATGACACAAACCATGTTGGGAGAGGTGGGAGAAAGTCTGAGGACCAGTGAGCAGGAATTCTGGAGGCAATGCAGCCTGGTGGCCAAAGGCTCTTGGTAGACTGCCACATGTGTCTCTTCTCCTCTCCCCTATAAACTATGGTATGGCACATAAACTCCCCTGAAAATCTGGTCTGAAAGACAGGTCTTGGCAAAATATGCTGTACAGAGCTATCAGGCTAAACCCTTTGCTCTGTCACTTCCTCCTAAGATAGAGGCAGCACATGCAGGACCCTCATTGTCCCCACCCCCGGGAATGCTGTTTGCTTAGTGCCAAGCCTGGACCTGACTCATCAGAGACCCCTGGGTGCTGGGAGATGTTCTGCAGAAGTGAGCCCATTCTTGCAATAATGAAGAAGCTGGAAACTGCCCCACAGCATTAAAAACATGAATGATGGATTAATGATAAAACCTGGCCATTGGAGAGACAGAGGCTGCACTACTAATGTGGGCAGAGCTCTAGCTTATATGGAAGAGTGTCTTGCCTTGCAGGGCAGCTCTGCCATGAAATCTTTCCTGCATCCATCTATTCTGGATGCAGGAAAGATTTCATGGCAGAGCTGCCCTGTCTGCTTTCCACATCCAGGAATATTCCCTGCAGCTGCAGATCCTTGCCATCCTCTTTCACAGGGTTGTGTAGCTTGCAATGCCTCCCAAACTACCCTGCAAAACCCTGTTCTGCTCCCAAAGCACCTCACAGAACCCTACTAGTGTCCAGGGTGCAGTGCAGTCCCAGTTTTTGTGTCTACCTATGTGGTGCCACATGGTTGAGAAAAACTTGTTTGGGAAGTTGGGCGCATTCCTGGGCATGAACATGCAGAGTAGCAGGGGCAGGGATCAGCTTTAGCAACACACAATGCCCACTATCCTCTGAGGCTGATTGAGGGCACAAACCCTCCATTTCTGAGCAAGGAGGGCTGGTATTTGGGGTGGTCCCATGTTTGGTAGAGAGGGGCAATGGCTTGTGAGCAGGCATTGCTCAGCTTGCCAGTCAGAGAGAGGGCAGCTACTTTGGTGGTCGCATCCCAGACTTTGGTGGCCCAGTTGGCAGCGGCTGGGGAGGACCCAGCCAGTGTGGGACTGAACTGCCTCCAAGTTAATCGAGGTTAATAGTAGGATCATGTTGGTCGGTTTGTGCTGTGGCTGCCTAAAAAGAGACGACTTTTAGTTTCTGGTATTTCTGGTATTTCCAGTCCCTGAACCTTCACAAGAAGAGATCTTCACCCCTGCATTGAGGGAAGGAAAGTCAAAAAAGGAGCCAGGGGGGATGCTTTGGTTTAGGGGTCCTGGGATGGGAGGTGAGATAGTGCTTGAGGGGAGGCAGAGATAGCACCTGAGGGGAGGCAAGGGATGCTTCAGTGATCTTAAGGGGTTGCAGAGGGGTTTTCCCCTCTGTATCCTCACTCCACAGGATTACAGTCCTGTGCTGCTGGGAAGTCAGGGTGCAGCTGGGGGCTGCCCTGGCCATATCTGGCCCTGAAGACTGGTGGTGGGGGATGATGCTGCCATATGTTCTTCCCTTGCCAGGCAGCACCAACCCATCCTCCTGACGGTGCCCCTATTGATACTCTCCTCAAGAGTGGCCATGTTGCCAGCCTGGCAACATGAAGCAGCCAGTGCTTCAGCACTGCCCAGAAAGAGACTGAGTAAATGCACCCATGGCTTTATGGCTCCTAGGTTTGGTGGGGAAGATGAGACCAGGGTGACTTTAGGATGTTTGTTCAAACTTGGCATGTCCTTGTCAATTGGTGTGGAAAAGGTTCAGGAGAGCTGAGGAGCAGCAGGAATCTGAATATGCTGTAGCCAACATACTGAATAGAGCCCCACTGAAGTGCACAGGGACCCATCCACCCCAAGATCCAACACTGGATGGGCCATTCCTGATGCTATACAGCCACCGGTTCAGGGGCAAGCAGGAAAAATCCCACCTGCAGCCCACCAGGCTGCTTTTATAGCCATTCCCCCAGCAGCATCACCCCAGACACGTCCTTCCAGCTCACCTTGTGTCACCACCTTGCCGAAGACAGGCAGGGTATCCAGTGTGGAGCAGTTCCAGCGGCGGTTGCGGAATTGGTACTGGCACTCCTCAATGGCCAGCTGGGCTCCGCGTCGCACCGAGTCCATCACCTCCAGGTTCCTCTTGCACATCTGCACCTGGCGCTGGATCAAGCCCTTCAGCTTCTCACAGGTCTCCTCCTCAGAGATGCTCCCTACTGAAGACAGCTTTGCCAGGTACCTGCCAGGACACCAGCACAACAGGTTAGGAGGCAAGGGCTGGGGGAGCCCATATTCATCTGGGACCCATGTTCAGCCTTCCAGAAAGTAAGGAGACTGAACCTCTTACCCCCTCCATAGCTGAGACCTGCTGCCCATCTGGGTCACCTTTAAATGTACCACAGCAGTGACTCTGCAGGATGCATTTCTGGCTGACAGAGAACAAGCCCAAGCAAAACGACCATCCCTCTGCAGCCTAGTTCCTGTCTCTTGGGGAGTCCAGCTGTTGGCTCCCCTTTGCCTCTGTTGCCTGCAAGGAAGATATTTTCAGTGCTGTCTGAATGTGCCTGGTCAGGTCTCCTGAGTATTGGCATATCCAAGTGCTACTAGGAAAAGCCAGAGGTCTCCAAAGTCAGCCAAAACAAGCAGGACAGGCACTTGGCTGCCAGCTCCATCTGCCACAGTGCTCCCACAGCGTGGCTGTGTGCTCATAACTGGCAAACATTGCCCCCCAAACCACTTCCCTCCTGGAGGCTGCTTTTAGCTGCCCCAGACCCCAACAGGCAGGGATGGCCTCTGGGAGCTGCCAGGTTTCCTGTCACTTGAGATTCAAGCAGGATTTGAGGCAAGGAAGCAGAATCAGGAGCCTACCAGGGCAAAATTGCACAGGCTGGGCACTTCCTCCACCAGCCCAGCTTGTGAATAGGGCCATGAGGTCTTTGCTGATCTGGAAAAGACTGGCCCTGTGTGGAGGGGACCATGTGTTCTGCTTTCCATAGTGCGCTTGTGAATAGGGCCATGAGGTCTTTGCTGATCTGGAAAAGACTGGCCCTGTGTGGAGGGGACCATGTGTTCTGCTTTCCATAGTGCCATCCTCATCAGTAAGAGTCACAGAGCTGCTCTTGGGTGTCAGTATTAGGGAAATGAGAGAGCAAACTCCTTGAAGAGCAAGCACATCAATACCTCTAAGCATTTCCTTGTCCAGTGTGCGGGTATGATGGTCCCTGCTGCACATCCTAAGTAACTCAACCTCCCACCCCTTGTTGTGTTGTGGGCATGGTGTCCATGCTTGCCCATTTCCCAGTTCCATCCTCCTGCCCCAACCTCTGGAACACAGAAGGAGCTTAAGATAGTCCCAGTCAGATTTTCCAATGAGGCTGTGTGATAATTCAATATCCTCTACAACTATTAGTGACTATGTTGGCAGGTGTGTATATGAGACTCCCTCCTTCCTGTGGCTGCTGGTAG